TTGTCAGTAAGTATATAATGATTTTCACAACGTGACGAAAAAAAAACATTTACGTTTCTGTTTGTATAGGTACACGGATGACGCTTTACTCCTTAAACATGTTACCTGACGGAAGGTTTCTTTCAGCTGAACTTGCTAGTGCTTCAATTCCTTTTAGCTATCACGGTCGGCATCATTATAAAGCCATCCTTCGAATGATGGCTATCTTTAACGTATGTATCAAATGGCAGCAGTCATACCTTATTTTCCCAAAATATTTGCTCAGATTGTAATGTTATCTCATAGGACGAAATGACAAAGCAGGAGAAATTAATGAGACGAATCAATAGATCTGTATCTCGGCCAAAGGAGACGACAGTTCGAGAAGTATTAAAAATACCTGACGGAATTGAGAATAAAATGATCTGTAAATTTAAATTCGAGGTTTAATAAAGACGTGATGGTGCTGGAATTTATTGGGACATATTAATTAGATATTTACTGTATTTGTTAACATCGACTTGTGTTCTTCAACCATAACTGTCAATTTACAATATTGTTATTATTTCACGGCAACATCGAACGAGTACCACGATGGAAGACCAAATAACCATTGGTATAATCCTTGCTATTGCCGTGAAGACTTTTCTTGAAAATCAATGGATTACCAAGTCCCGGTAGAATGTCAATCGCGCATTACTCAATCGCTTACACTTCTGCCAGAGTTACAAGTCAGTCTATCGTAATTTTATTGCAGGTCTCAAAAACGACGGGCATGTTGAAATTGATAAAATATGATGCGTTTCGTAAGTATTAACGCTTTACATTCAAATTATGAGTCCGAGAACAGGTGTATGCGATACTTGTCAACATTTTCGGGACAGCTTACTGTGTAATGCTCGCAAGAAGCGAGAGACTTATAAAAAAATACAAGGAACATCTAGTAAACGCTAAATTGGAGAGAAATTATTACAACAAAATACGAAATTAGCAGAACAGAGAAAATAGCATTTTATACAAGAGGTAAAGCTGATTATTGTAGTGCTGACGCGCTGCTCATTATAGTTATGATTGGGCACAAAATGTTCACGTGCCCCATTTCGATCAAAATTTATTATTCCGTCCGCGTAAAGTGCATTTATTTGGTATTCAGGATGAAGCAACACGCGAACAAATTAATTACGTTCTCGATAAAGACGAAATTATTGGGAAAGACCCTAATGGTACACTGAGCCTGGTATTCGATGTAATTAAACGATTGAATAAAGGTGAGAAGCATTTAAAGATCACTTGCGATAACGCGGGAGGACAGAATAAAACCATGCCACCATTTAATTTTATCTTACTGTATTTGCGGCTATTATGAAAGTATCGAATTAAACTTTATGGTACCAGGACATACTAAATTTAAGGTGATGGTAGTTTTTGATAAATTAAGAAACTTTACCGAAAGACGACAGTAGATTGTGTAGACCATATCGTTGAAGCCGTAAAAAAATCGAGTATAGCAGGATTAAACAAGGCTCAATGCTATGACAAGGGAAAGAGTTTTCAATATTTAGATCTTAATTCCGTGTTGGGAATTTTTTTTAGAAAGTCAAGTGGTTTACAAAAATATTTAATATCAGCATTTTGTTTTTGAAGCAGCTCGACCTGGAATTATCAAAACCCGGCTGGTTGCTAATATTACTTATACGAAATTTAATTTATTGAAACCAGAAAAGCAAATGTTTCTGAAACTTTAACTTCTTTATTCAGCTTCTACTCATCAAGAAAGTGCATTTTGATGCATGTAAATAATAATAAGACAAACAAACCTTTTTCTAATTTTTTGTCTTCTAAGCGTTTTAATGCATAAGGGTAATATCGAAAGTAATTTATAACTGTTCTCTGCTTCATTTGGATTTCGGTTTAAACTACCAATTAATTCTTTTATTTACTCTTTGGTTAAAATATTAATAGAGGTAATCTATATTAATCCTGTTATGGTTTATATTTATCACATTCTGGTATGATAAAGTGAACGTTAAAATTAACAAATTCATAAGTTATGAATGAGCTCCATTACTATTTTTCAAAACGTCATCAGTCACACTGATCAATTTACAGCCACATAATCAGCCTCTCATTTATTATAATAAATGTTCACTTTGTCTGGTTTTGTTGCAGCATGCCCCATTTAATTTGCTATGCCCCCAGGAATTATAAAATTTAGTTCAACATTTTTATAATAATCACAAATTTGTTCAACTAAAAAGCTGCATTAATATTAGGTATGAATTCTGGTTATTATTATAGTATCTATCTTGGTTTACAAGTTGTCAGGACAATCACTGAAGAGTTGTTTTTTTTTTATTAAAAAAAAAACAAACAAAACAATCACAGGCAGAATATATTAACATAATATTCTTGGTGCATGCCTTAAACTGGCCTTGAATACATAATAATATAATTCAATAAATATTGTATCTGCAAAAATGACACTAGATAGCACACCAAAAAGTTGACATAAAAAATTACAAGAATTTATTAAACTGTACATCATAACATGTAATAATAACATGTCTCAATGAACAAAGGAGTTGAAAATGTTATAACATCAGAAAAGCTTGGAAATATACATGGGTACTTCGCAGTTCTACTCTCTTCTATTCGATCATAATTGAGAGAAAAAGAATTGTTCTTACAATGGAAGAAATTTTATTGAGACTTTTTTTTTCTTTGTTGCAATACACGAACAGCCAGCTAGCCTTACCTTTTATCATTTTGAAGATCTACGAGACCAACCACCCAACGACCATGATCGCGTTATCTCACCGCTATTTCTTGCGTCAAAATTTACAGTACTCTTGCAATGATTCCTCTCGTCCAAGTCTTCGCCATTATTGTCATCCTTATTTAACTCCAGCTGCACTACTTTAATCATCCTACAATCTTCTCTACCATCTACGCCTGTTATAATAATGCTATTATTAAGATTATCGTCATTGGTTGCGGACACGGCATTAACACCGCTATCTACAGTAAACTCTGCGGATTCCAGTCGCACATTTTGCGTCATTGCCTCGAATTGTAGTAGTGTGCTTGCACGATGGTACCCATCTTCGTCGAGTTCAACACAGCCTTTGGTAATACCAAATTTATTCTTAAAGCGACGGCGTCGACGTTTAATGCGATATAGAAAGTAAAATAGTGCTCCGGCCAGAAAAGCAAAACTGGTCACACTGAGAGCCACGTAGACAATTTTTGATGAGGGTAACGATGCCTGCATGGATGTGTTCGGGAGACCTGTGGGTGATGAAGTAGAAAATATGGTAGATGATTGAAAGGGTGGATACAATGAGGGAGAGTTGTCGTTGGGTGATGTGTTGAGTGCAGTAGGATTTGGTTTATCCGGTTGAGCATCGGATGGTATTGTTCCGCCGGGCGAATTTCCCGCGTTGTTTCCATTAGGCGAATTATTCCCATTCCCAGGCGAATTATTTCCACCTCCAGATGAATTATTCCCATTATTAGGCGAATTATTTCCATTACCAGACGAATTATTTCCATTTCCGGATGAATTATTTCCACTCCCGGGTGAATTATTCCCCTTATTAGGCGAATTATTCCCATTCCCAGGCGAATTATTTCCACCTCCAGATGAATTATTCCCATTCCCAGACGAATTATTTCCATTCCCAGACGAATTATTTCCACTCCCAGACGAACCGTTTCCACTCCCAGACGAACCGTTTCCACCCCCAGACGAATTGTTTCCATCCCCAGACGAATTGTTTTCACCCCCAGACGGACTGCTTACAGGGGGCGGAATGACTTGTTTGTTTTTGGGTGGTGGGCTATTAGCACTAGATGTACTGGTTGAAGTGGTAGTTGTAGTCGACGTTGACGTACTAGTTTGTGTATTTGTTATAGTGTTACCATCTCCAGACTTGTCTCCGCTTCCAGACGAACTGTCTTCGGGGGGCGGAATGACTTGTTTGTCTTTGGGTGGTGGGAAATGGTTGCCATTTTCGTCAGATGTAGTGGTTGAGGTGCTGGTTGTAGTCGTTAACGTATTATTTTGTGTGGTTGTTGGGGTGGTTGTCGGAGTGTCGGTTGAAGTGATTGTCGAAGTATCGGTTGGAGTTGGAGTGTTTGCAGGAGTATTGTTTGATGTTTTAGTGGTTGTTTTGTTATTATCAGCGGTGTCATTATTGTTCTCATTAGGTAATATGCTAGATAATATAGATACCAAGTCAGGTGATGGTATGTGTGGCATTTATAAAGATAAAAAGAGCGTACATTAATTTTATTATTTATAAGCGGAAGGAAGGAAGGAAGGAAAGAGGGGTAATTCGAAAGGAATGAAAAAAAGTGTAAAAATTTTTTTTCGAAAATGGGATTCGTTTTCTATCCCAGTTATTAATATACAAACCTCACAACTTTTGATCTACAATGGTTTGTATCCAGTGAATGAATGTTTACAGGATAAATTCGTCATGTAATCTGTTACTGATGCTCTGATTGCACCAACGCAATGTTTGTTGCCGGCTCAAATATACCGGGCTTGCATTGTTTACGACTCTTTACAATTATGTCTCTTTTTCTCGAAACCAAATAAAGTAGTCTTTTTTAATTATGTAACCAATACTGGGTTGCACGACAAAAAGAATAAATGGGATGATTACGGGTGAGGCAGTGTCACATACTACGAAATAAGTGAGATTATGCAGGTTTTTAATAGTTTGTGATATTTGCAAAACATTGAAGACGTAATCATCATGGATTCGTATTAGTTACTGTAATACGACGTTCCTGCGGACGTTGATGTGTAAGTGATCGCCCAGAGTTGTCGAAAAGAAAAGGAAAGTGGGAGGGAGGTAAATGGGAGGGAATATGGATCATCGTCGCTTACAACTTGTTCCGGTTGGTTAAACAGCAATTGTGTAATGCGATTAAGTTCTAGATAACCGCGCATTTTGTCGTCTCTTCAAACACAAAGGTTCGTTATTTGAAATTCACTTGACAAATTATGTGTACATATAACGTTGACACTCACGTGTATATGTACGTCAATGAGTACAAGTTTTAATAACTTGGCACACTTATCGAGAGAGGTGCTATCTGAAACAATTATTATTATACATTTCTACTTATATACAAGTGCCATATCCTTGTAATAAACATAATCAATGATACCCATACGATCTCACAACTCTTACGTAAAAATAAACTTCACTATTTACAAAAAAAAAAAGAGCCAAAAAGAATTGATGGCAATGTCTATTTTTAAACGAGTGTCCAACGAATTAAAAATCAACGAGACTATTGACGTGAGTGCGCACATGTATGTGTGTGCATGTGCGTGCGTCACTGTGTGGATATTACTTCGTTGCCACAGTCTTTTCATATCAAGTCGTCGCCTTACCCTTCCAGAACAGTAGTTTTCTCTTCAAGCCAGGTATTCCCGACCTAGTCGGAGTTTCAGGGCGAAGAGATACCACATTCACCACGTGATCTGTCCCACCAGCATCTGTATCACGAACCACGATGCTGCGGCCTTGTTGGCCAAGATTAACCGTAAGGCGACGAGTCATGGGTTCTATCTGAAGCATGGATACCTTTGGAAGTGCTCGCTGAAATGAAATCGAGGCTGATCGAGAAATTGTCATTGAGTTGTTTGAGAGGGGCGGAAGAGTTGTTGGTGAATTAATAATAGTCGGCGATGATGCTCCGGGTGTTACGTAAAATGATGTATCATCAATATCCGTTGTAACGAGCGATCTTGTATACGATGTTGCACTTATTGTACCCATTGTTGCATCCATTGTCGAATCTACGGCAGCCCTAGTAGTGCCCATTTGCGCATTCGATGTCGTCATCGTTCCTATCTCAAGGTCTGTAGCATACTCTCTTACGCCAGATCCAATAATAGTGTTCCTTATCGCCTCATTCCTATGACTACTCATCCGCTCTCCTATCCGTACACTCTCTGCTCCACTCCAACCACTTGCTATCATGGTAGGTGAGCTCAATTGCGACATAGCCGACTCTGTTGCGGATATACTTGATTGTAATTCTTGTCCGTTGCTTTGACGGCGACTTTGGATGTAAGTAATGAGGAGTACTATAAGTAAAAGAGTTGTTAAAATAGAAAACGCAACGATAAGTGGGACCCTATCGTCTTCGAAGGTAGATGTCGATGTACTGTAGGGAGTAGTCGATGTTGGGGTTGATGTTTGTTGGGCTGGGATGGTAAAAAAGATGGGTAAGTTTGAAAGGAGCAAAGAGAATTTTTTTTGTGGTGATTTCTTTACAGATTATCAGCGACTTACTTGTGATTGTATGATTGATTATCGTTGTTGTTGGTATACCCCCTTCGCCGGGTATTGATGAAGATGTTTCGGAAGTGAAGGTTATAGTCGAAGTGGGTGTTTGTACAGTATCAGTACATATGTCTGCTCGAAAGCAGGATGACATCTGAGCATTTGTTCGATATGGATGCTAACATGATACTACATGGGAAAATTGCGTCGGCGTATTTATATTGTTTAGGTGGGTCTTATTGTACTTTATATAAAATGTGACCTTGAATGTAACGGGGGACTTGATGATCATTAATATTAAGCAACTGCAAAGTAGATTATCCTTTTCCAATATCCATTATCGGCAATCCAAGGAAGATCGTCTAGCAAACAAAACCCGTCGTATTACATGACCTTGAATAGTAGCGGTGGCTGAGCATTTGAGACAAGGGCAGACTGCCCGTAATAGCCCATTGCTACCGCAAAGAGGAAAACCCACAGCATAATGAACCATAGCAACAGAATAAAAAAAGGCAAACATGTCGTTAATTGTAATATATGCATGTAATAATACCAAAGTTTTATCAAATTGTCAGGTAGCCCAGATAATAATTAAGTAATATAATCATTGTGACATTCAGCGTCGACCCGTTACACTGGACAAAGAAGCTTGCAAGCCACTCTCTCTATATGTGAATAAGAGCAACCATGAGTCAAGGGCGATTTCCTATTCCTCATTATTGCAAACAATGTGGTTCTCATGCTTTATTTTCATATTTAATTTTGTAATGACATTGCAGAATGATGCTCATGCACAATCTATCATCATGAAACAGTAAAAAAAAAAAGCGATGTCCCGTTCTCCAGATTATATTTAATTAATGTGTAAGAACAAAATCCCATACAGAACGGCTATAAACCGGCTTATCCCGTATGAGACATCTAAAATTCTACATAAAACATATCTCTCTATTATAGATGATAGACGACAACTGTTAATCGCTAGGATTAGGCGGTAAAATACGATAGAATTAAACGGATAGATGTGATAGAGAATAACTGTCACTTACTAATAAGGTAATGAGCAAAGCGCAGTAAGAGGATGGTGTACACAAGATGCATGTCAAAGAATAAAGAGGAAAACAAGTAACGAAAAAAAAAAACTTGCCATTGCAGTCTTTTTGGCCTTGAAAAGAAGAGGATTGCACTATACGTCTATTATTAGAGTTGTAGCAATTTTGGCATGCATTGTCAGTCACATTCTAATCCCTTTAGAGAATCTGTGATGTAATCGAACAGTCCCACATGACCATAATTACTAATTCCGTCCCAAGTTCATACGATGTGTACTAGCTATGGTTTGAATGGGATTGTCGGTTACGCCGGCGTTTAGCAAACAAGTCTTTGCCTGCATTCAGTTTTATGCTTTCATGCATGAACTATGTATATTTACATTGCCCATCTTATTCCATTGTGCCATAATGACCAACGTAAGATAAGAATGGCAGGTTTATACGTTGACGACGTTCACAGCTGTAATCGTTCCGAGTATAATTGTTCCCTTCAGTATATGTATTAATATGCAAACAACAGCAGCAAAAAAATCTGTAGGTTTGATACCGAGTACTCATAGATGTCCTAGGTTAACCAACTTTACTCATTCCATTGCGGCTCAAAGAAAAAAAGTAATTCATTTGAGAAAAAAACGTCTCAAATGCATGGACCATTTACTGATAATAGCTGTATGGAAATAAACCCCTTGGATACAACTAATCGAGAGCCCTTTTTTATGCATAAATATAAGCAGGACCGAACTTGAGCGAGGAAGAAATTGTTAGTTATGTCACAAAATACCTATTCCAAGTTATGTGACCAAACGAAGCCATCGCTGGGCGAATAGGACTTTGTATTCTGGCCACCCACTTTTTATAATAATATCACCTAACAATAATTGGGAAAAGTTTTTCCAATTATCTGTTTTGCTACCTATGTAAATTTGCACGTTTGTACGAAATAACCAATAAAACACGTCATTAGAATGTTTCAGTCCTTACTTTATTCCGAGTTCGCACATTTGATACTTGCATTTTCGAGGGTTGTAGAGGGAATGTGAATTTATACTTTCCCGTACGTAGCACATGCTAGTGTTGAATAGAAATAACCGTATGCTCGCATACAACCTAATTCTTTGTAAGCGACGTTCTCAATAGATAACTATCGAGGGAGTGAAAAAACCGAGTTTGAGAACAAACCACGTTTCTTAATATATGAAGAGTAAATTTGTGTACATTAAAACCTACATGCATGTAACGTATCCATGAGGGCACAACAGGCAAGCGAATTGACTATGATCTGCGTATCAACATCATAGACTAGAAGCTAGCTGCATGTAAGAAGAGACATACCTGCGTTAAACCTAATAAATGGCGGCTGCAGAAGATTCGATTGTGTATGTCCACTGCGATCGATCATCAAATAATGAAGTACCTAATCGCTGGTCCGCAATAAAACCAATCATTAATATTAATGTACTACGTTGCATTGGAATTTATAAATACAGTAAAATCCTTCGGTAATATGGTATGGTAAATCCTTCAGTAATATGGTAAAACTCGTTTTATTTGAGGTCTTTCACTGAGATCAATGAACTTGTTCTTAACGTTCGTTTGCATGAACAAAGATATACTCGGTACTTATTGCTATAGGGTCATAGTATTGACCGTAAAACTTTCTTTATTTTCGATCAAATGATCAACTTTACTGCATGTGTCCCATTCAGGCATCTGTGCATGCGTGGAACTGCTAATCATTGATATTCGTGTTTACCATATTTAATAAAAGCTTTAATTTAGTCAGTATCAGACATAGACCAATGTCAAGAAAGAATGCGACGCCGATTACATACAACCGATATGAGCTCCTTTATAATGTGAGACAACATGCTAGATACGTTGTTGTCCTCGGCTCTGCTAATGAAATATATATTGCGCTTGATGCTCATAATTATTGCGCTTGATCACTCCAATAGAAGAGTATGAATTAAGCTTAGGTTAGCGATCACATACATTCCTTACCATTGTATGCTAGAGACACAAGACATTCATCATTCGTCTTGACACACGATAGTCATCGCCTAAAATCGAATACACATATCGCTTCCTATGCTTATTCAAACGGTGATGGATTCATTAGACTCTTTACTTTCTGATGCTGATGGGTTAATCGTAAAAGATAAAGGCAAACTTGCTGATAGAGCCATTTCAGCTGACGTTTCTGTGACAGTTGGGGGCGTTTCTGTAAGTGTTGGTATTGGGAATGCACCACCGCCACCCCCTCCACCCCCTCCACCCCCTCCTAGTAACAGTAATAATAAACCCAGCAGTAGTCCCGGGCAGGACCCCAAACCCGTTCCTGATAATACCAGCGTCGCGAGTGCGACTCAGACGAATGATGCGAGCAGTCCGACTAGCAATAATTCCCCTCAACAATCAAACAAGCCAACGAACAACGGTGACACTCCTGTTATACCCAATACCAGTAATGGAGGTCCACCAGACAACAACAACAATAATAACAATAACGAACCAGGAGCATCAGCAACAGGTAGATTCATTCGATCAGTAAACTCTTCGTTATCAGGTTTAAACGTACATGTAAAATCTACAATAAATTAATCTATTGTTTTCAGGAACGGGTAGCAGTAAAGGTCTTATTAATTCAACCGTCTCGCCAAAAGTAATACAAACAGCGTCACCTACCAACTTTCCTCCATCATCATCAGCCAACCCAAATGACGCTTCTATAACATCATTAGGCACTACATATTCTCCCGACTTTTCATCCTTACCATCACCATCGTCATCACCATCGTCGTCACCGTCGTCACCGTCATCAAAACATTCTCCTGCTTTGATAGCTAGTTCTTTAACAATTATGTGTATTCTAATAGTCTCTATGTTTGCGCTATACTTGAGAAGACGTAAGAAAATAGCAGAAGCTAAAAATCTGAGTACCGAAAAAAGCCATTTCGATTGGGGCAAGGCTGGCGGATGGGGTACAAGACTTAAGTCAGCGATACGAAAAAGAATTGAGAAACAGAATGTAGAAGATACTTTTTACGGCGATACAGTCAGGTTACATATTAACGAGGATTCAAAGAAAGCAGTTGAAAACAGTGAAGATCCGGTTGACGAATATGAAGAAATCGATGATCCCATTGAATATTATGATATCAAGTATTTGGAAGTACGAGACTACGACGTCTCATCTAGTAGTAGCATATCGATAAATACAGCTACGTCGTCCGATATTGACGACCACGCTGCTAGCGAACGATACGAGGCGGAAAGTGCGAATAACAGCCTACACAATAGTATTATCGACTTTTCATATAGTGAATACCCGCTCAGTCCAGCAGTCCCACCTCAGATATTCATACCTACATCAGTACTCACATCTTACATGGATACTTCTGATTTTTCGGTTTCACCGATTTCGGGGTCAATTAGTGACATCTACGATAATACAGATGTTGTAAGCAAAAAGAGATTATCGTCCTCAACATGGTTTTCAAACGCGTCCATGTCAAGTGGCAATAACAAAGTCCCCCCAAAAGTACGATCACCAACACCTTCAGTAACTTCTAGTCGGACATCAATGTCATCTCTACAGGTAGAAGTAATGACACAAACGTTATCTGATCTCTTGACATCTAACGGAGGAATGGTAATCGTACAAGCGAATGAAAAGGATAAAGCACCTCAAATCACGACAGCTGAGAAAAAAGTCAAATTAATGAAGCTGACAGAAGCTGACAACGTGTCGAGAAAAAGTTTTTATGTGAATGATGGGAAGTTTAATGGGAAAACGGTTAGGTCATGGGCAAAGGGATTTAAGAAAGCGATAGGATGATGTAGTATAATAATATTATATACAAGCGATCGAAATCGTAGAAAACATTGTATTGATTGTACTAATTAATGTGAATATGGGAACACGTGTATTAGGTATAGATTGCTTATGTCGCCCGAAATTTAACGATAAGTGTTTACAAAAGCATGACAAAAAGACGCAAGATTGTTATCCGTGCGACGTTCGGTGCAAAAATGCGTGCAACCGATCATCATCAGCTACGCCAAACTTGACAATAAACACTGGGTTGTTTATTTATTTACTACACCAATCATCGATGAAATGATCGGAATAACGGGTGGAAGAAAGCACATTCTAGTCAACAAGTTGGAAAAATAATTCGCAATGGCAAACCTTAATCACGACAAGATAAATTTTAGAGTTGATATTAAGTTTTTCAGTTAACACAATTTCTAATTCACTTTCTCATTCGTAACATGTGCAGATTGTGCAAATGTTTATACGAAATGTCATCAGATTCGCCTATTAATTTAAGACTAGATAGTGCGCCCTGAGGCTATAGCTTAGTGGGTTGTCTAAATGACGTACAACAATAATAAGTTACAAAAGAATAACATTGTAGCAAAGTGTAACATGGTTCGCTTCAAATCATTGGTACTACTGCAAAAACGGATATTTATCATCACCTCCCACGCAACAAAAAAGGACAATCGCTGTTATCAAAATAAACAGTCTGACTCGCCTTAGCAAATCTTGATGCTTCTATTCACAAATTTAAAACATGAAACACAAACCAGTTTGTGTTCAAACGATTCTAGTTAAAAGCAATGACAGAAGACACTAGTGTCGACAAGTAAATTCCCGTTTGATTTTTGATATGGAAGTCAACAAAACGATTTAAGTGTAATGTGCTTTTACACTTAGTTCTAATACAATTACATTCATTTTATACTGCCCTATATCTCAAGAATATTGAATAAATAACATTCCTTTATTTTATTTTTTTAAACCAAGTTCTCGTTCTTCTGTCGAACAGTAGTAACCCTTTCCCCGTTAATGCACTTAAGACCCATCAGCATTTGGATGAAATTGACACCGAGAAGTAGTAATACCAACGACGCAACTAAGACTGTGGCTTTAAATTCGGAATTGCCAATAGTCGACCCGATTTTACAGCATCTGGAATCAGGAAAGCCACCAACATCTCAGCAGACTAATGCGCCTTGTACGGCAGAGATAACAAAACCAACCCGGTTAAAAAAAGA